CGTTGTTTTAATCCTGACCGAACAGTGTAGTATGATGTGATGTCTGTTTGCAGCTTCGATGACTCAAAACGAGGCTAAAAGGGCGGATTGACCCACGGTATTTATGATAGTAGAAAGTAGATAATATAAACTAGATAATCGAGGATGTTGTGATGATAGATCATCAGGCGCTACACCGAACCATTCTGCCTCGAACACCAACTGTGTAACCCTCTTTACGATCTTAATGATTATGAGCGATAGAAAATACCTAATACCTCTATATATCAATTATTTATATCTACATAACAACGAAGCATATTTGCTAGGGGGTAATTTTGAATAATAAAAAATGGCACGAGGCATTTTCGAAATAAATCTCCTTTTCCTGGGTGGAAAAAAGATTTTCAGTTTAATCATTTATGAATTTCAAAAGGTTTGAAGGTCAAGTAGAATATCTAGAACGACCAAATTGAACTTTATATAAATCGTTTACGAGCACAGCATCCACTGTAATGGTATGGTCACAATTATCAACAAGCCCGTTTCATCTTTAATATGGATTTTCGGAAAATGTGTGTTTTTCTTTCGCATTGAAATATCGGAACTCCTAAATATCAACGTTGAAACGTTAACCCTTCGCATATGATTTTCACCTTGATCAAAAGAGATTCACAAACAAATGAGCAATCATTTCGCCGAAATACCACAAGGTCAATCCTCCATTGACCCACATACAATATCAAGCTGATATCTGTAATTGTGTTAAACCTTTCACTTGAACTATTTTATGTGGACAGAAAATTGTGTTATTAAGTCCGGTGCCGCTCAGTCGGAGTGCGGACCTCTGCCCTACGTAGCCACCGATCCTGCGTCCTCGCCACAGTGATTTATTCCCAGTTTTACGATACAATGAAACACATGGCCGGTATGCTACAATCAAATCCCAATTTTTTTTTTTCATTTCCTTCAATTCAACCCTCCCCATAAGACGTGCCGAAGGTCCCTGCATTAGTCCGGAATTTCGTGTCAAATTCCAACCCCTCACTAACTGCTCTGATGAAAATTAAGAAATGACTAATCATGTAAGACGGTGATAATTAATGATTAATGACTGTTAATGATTGATTATTGCCTCCTCGTGCTAGTTTCCCCACGACTCATCGTCAAGGGAATAAAGCCATTATGATCGTTGTGCTTCGTTTTAACACGTTCAAACCTGGCCTTCGACCTAAATGAATAATTACTTTTACCCTCTATCATTTCGTTACAAGGCAACGGGTTTTATCATGAATAATTACTGGTTATTTTACATGGACTTTGAAGTACATTGGGTGCTTATTAAATCTCAATTGAATATAAAATCCCCGATAACGGGTGTAAATGTATTCAGTTTAATGTTTTGATTGAAAGAGAAATAATTAATAATGTGCACCGTAACATATTATAGGCACGGCATTTTATCAGTAGCAATTAATATGGCGCATGCAACGATATTTTATCAGGGCGGGAAGAAAACTTGCATCACAGGAAGCTCAATGGGTTATATATTATCTAGTAAACTGATGCAGTGGCGATATCACCTAATATTACTTCATTTCTAAAGTCTTCAAAGAGGGATGCGTTTGTTCTCGAGTTTCACCATCATAACATTCATTATAACGTGAACGGAACTGACAGGCGATTTTGATGCTTTCATAGCAAAAGCTGAAGGAATACGCACACGCACACGCACACGCACACGCACACGCACACGCACATGCATACGCGAAGCAGAACATTTATTCTATCCACAGCATGTCAATGTTACAATATTGAACTGAAAGATAATTAATGTGTAAGTTTTACACTGTGTTTGTTGATGCCGTACTGACCTATATTCTATCTTTAGGACGGGCTTACGTAAATAATCGAATCTGGAACAGTCAAACCAGTGATTGATAATATGAACAACGTCTGATCAACCATGTCACCGAACCCGACCACCGGATCCATTTAGCCGCCTTGTATAAGTGGGCTTTTGTATTGGGGACCGTCAGCGAACATTGTGCCTTGTGCACCCAGCAGGAAATGGGTACCCGGTAGGGAGAGATTGAAAACATATGAACGATGAATCTTGATGGTGGAGAGAGTGCAAATTGCACAGTGATCGTTTGACCTGGCTTTGAGCGTGCACTGTTTGGGATTAGTATCATGCAAATGTACATTTCACTGTTGATAAGAGGAAGAGTCGTTTCCATTTCCTATCATTCATGTCAGCTGAATGTCTATGTTTAATGTGATGTTACCCTCGTCGGATACATATACACGTCAAACATATGCACAGTATTATAGCTGATTGATGGCCCCATTGTGCTCAGAGCAGACCATATGTAAATATCTATATATATAATTACCATATGTCAATCATATATACACTCAAAAAAACGCACAGGTAGATTTTTAGTAAATTTATTGTACCTAACAAAATCTATATATGAAATTTTGGAGCTCGATAGTCAAATATTGTCTTTGTACAAAAGGCATAGAAAACATTTAATTGTCATGTCACATAAGGCCACAAGGTTGCGCTGAACTCAGCATGTCGTGTGACCGCCCCGGGCTCTGCATCACGGCTCTGCATCACCTCGGCACTGACTGGATAAGTGTACGAATTTTGTCTTGCGGAATTCTGCGCCATTCTGCTTGTAACGCGTTGGCCAGTTGTGGGAGTTTCTGCGCCGTGTTCTGACGTTGACGTACACGTCGATCGAGTTCATCCCAGAGGTGTTCGATTGGGTTGAGATCTGAAGATCTCGACGGCCAGGGCAAGGCGTTGGTGTTGGCATTATGAGGTAGTCTTCCGTGACACTGTGTGCGGTGGGGCGTTGTCCTATTGAAACAGTTCCCTCTGGCGGTCAATGATTGGAAGAAGGTGAGGTTGAAGCATTTGATTCATGTAGCGATTTGCTGTCAAATTTCTCCATGACATTTTTTAACAAGTGTGAAAACAATGCCGTTTAAGACATTGCAAATCGGCAATGGCTGCGTTTTGACGCACCATTTGTCGAATATCAGGCCACCGAACACCTATAAAACTTTTTAATGATCAATCAATCAAATCCAATTTATATACCTGATTTTTTGTATAGTCAGGTTCAATGAACTGCATACTACCTGTACGTTTCCTTATTTGAAGAGTGTATATATAATTACCATATGTCAATCATATATATAATATATGTTTGTTCTCAGGCGGAGAGTGCACGTTAGAGACCCAGCGCCGCCAACGTGAGCCAGCTTGAGGTAGCCCTTCAGGCAGAATGGAGGGCAATACGAAGGGCAACCACACGCAAGTTAAACAGTATGCCATCAAGGTGTAATGCATGTGTCGCCCAAAACAGTGGACACACCCCAGGTATTGATCTACAAGCTCGAAGTTCATTTTAAAGACATTTATCGTCACTACGCCTTCACCATAATTTCATCAGTTCCCTTATTGTTTGTCGGTAACATATATGTTTAGGTCGACAGTTGTTGAAGTATATCGTTCATGTATTATGAAACACTTTCCCATTTTTACAGGTTCAATAAGTCGTAAACATGAAATTGATGTCGTGCAGATAAACGGGAATTTGCTCTTCATCACAAATTCGAAATATAATGTTATATGTATCGGTTTTCTTCTAGAAATGGCCAAACGTAAATACAAAAATGCTTACCTGCTAAATATTTGGGTGTGTGGATGCCTTGAACTTTGCAGAAATATAATAAAAATAAAAATAATTTATACTGCGCCTAATGTCCAATCACCCAGTGGCTACTCATGCCCCAAACATTCACAAGCACACAAGAACAGGTTGTATTACTTTTATACAAGTTAATAATAATAAAAGTGAATATCTTATTTCGAAATATTACAAACGTGTTCATGTGTGAAGTATGGGAACTAATGTGTTTTTGTAAAAGGAATTATCACAAATTTGCAAATAAATCAAGCTGTTTCTATTATCATCATCATCATCATCATCATCATCATCATCATTATTACTACTAAAACCTTTATTAGACCAAGCGGACACACACGCACACATGCACACACACACACTCACTCATACACACACACGTCGCTATACAAGTGCAATAATCTTGACCATGACGTTAAACCCCATTTCACGTCACCTCATTTTCAACGTCAAACAGCGCAGTGTTAAAGAATCAGTCCCCATGAGCTTGGATCCCGTCTGTAGCAGGCCAAACTATGCAGAATTAGTCCACAGAAAAAGACACTCTTAACATCAATAAACATCACGACTTGTATTAAGTCTAGCAATACGGAAACGCTCAACAGTTTGATGAAAAGATAGAATGATGACTCCCTTGCACGGATCCCATCTGCTCGGCTGACCACGTGGTGATGTCCAATAATACCAAACAAAAGTGAGTTGTAATAGCAATGGCCCATTTGGGGACTGAAAGCAATTTTATTACCTATTGGGGTAATCCCTAACCCAGACCGGGTAATGAAAAAGACGTAGCGAAACCCGCCTATAACGAGTTGTGGTGTGATTGGAATATAAATGTGCATCTGGTGTTGTTGGGTGATACTGGAATGAGGTGTTTTCGGTTGGTGTCACTATGCTTCTGGTTAACCTAGCTCTCTCGCCGTAATAGTCAGGATTTGCCGGTAAAGTTGGAGAATTACAATTAGTAGAATGAGGAAAGGGTGATGGGATGTTAGATAAAATTTATCAAACATTCATCAGGTTGGGTGAATGTTGGCGAAAATGAGAGGAATTCACATTCCGCCCAGTGAAACAAAACCGGCTTTACACTCCGACGAGTCTCGAAATCACAATGGCGGCTGTTTCTTGTCTGATATGCATGAAATGCAGACAGTTCGGTCAAGTTGAGCTTGAAATGCTGGTTAAAGTACACCGGGCTCCAAAGAAACTTCAAATGTCTCTTGTGTTTTTTTAAATTAATGACATGGTTTCGTTTGGTTGGCTGGTTTTACCTGGAATGAGCGAGTGAATGTTGTGTTAAGGCGCAGTCAGCAATAGAGCGGATTTGCCGGGTTTGGTGGGAGAGGAGAGTGGCCGGGTTTGTTGGGGGAGGAGAGTGGCCGGGTTTGTTGGGGGAGGAGAGTGGCCGGGTTTGTTGGGGGAGGAGAGTGGCCGGGTTTGTTGGGGGAGGAGAGTGGCCGGGTTTGTTGGGGGAGGAGAGTGGCCGGGTTTGTTGGGGGAGGAGAGAGGCCGGGTTTGTTGGGGGAGGAGAGTGGCCGGGTTTGTAGGGGGAGGAGAGAGGCCAGGTTTGTTGGGGGAGGAGAGTGGCCAGGTTTGCTGGGGGAGGAGAGTGGCCGGGTTTGTTGGGGGAGGAGAGTGGCCGGGTTTGTTGGGGGAGGAGAGTGGCCGGGTTTGTTGGGGGAGGAGAGTGGCCGGGTTTGTTGGGGGAGGAGAGAGGCCAGGTTTGTTGGGGGAGGAGAGAGGCCAGGTTTGTTGGGGGAGGAGAGAGGCCGGGTTTGCTGGGGGAGGAGAGTGGCCGGGTTTGCTGGGGGAGGAGAGTGGCCAGGTTTGCTGGGGGAGGAGAGTGGCCGGGTTTGTTGGGGGAGGAGAGAGGCCAGGTTTGTTGGGGGAGGAGAGTGGCCGGGTTTGTAGGGGGAGGAGAGTGGCCAGGTTTGTTGGGGGAGGAGAGTGGCCGGATTTGCTTGGTGACGTGAGCGGCCGGGTTTGTTGGGGGAGGAGAGAGGCCGGGTTTGTTGGGGGAGGAGAGTGGCCGGGTTTGTTGGGGGAGGAGAGCGGCCGGGTTTGTTGGGGGAGAAGAGCGGCCAGGTTTGCTGGGGGAGGAGAGTGGCCGGGTTTGTTGGGGAGGAGAGTGGCCGGGTTTGGTGGGAGAGGAGAGTGGCCGGGTTTGTTGGGGGAGGAGAGTGGCCGGGTTTGTTGGGGGAGGAGAGTGGCCGGGTTTGTTGGGTGAGGAGAGTGGCCGGGTTGGTTGGTGGAGGAGAGCGGCCGGGTTTGTTGGGGGAGGAGAGTGGCCTGGTTGGTTGGTGGAGGAGAGCGGCCGGGTTTGTTGGGGGAGGAGAGTGGCCGGGTTTGTTGGGGGAGGAGCGTGGCCGGGTTGGTTGGTGGAGGAGAGCGGCCGGGTTTGTTGGGGGAGGAGAGTGGCCGGGTTGGTTGGTGGAGGAGAGCGGCCGGGTATGTTGGGGGAGGAGAGTGGCCGGGTTGGTTGGTGGAGGAGAGCGGCCGGGTTTGTTGGGGGAGGAGATTGGCCAGGTTGGTTGGTGGAGGAGAGCGGCCGGGTTTGTTGGGGGAGGAGAGTGGCCGGGTTTGTTGGGGGAGGAGCGTGGCCGGGTTTGTTCGGGGACGAGATGACGGCGTGTACTCCGAATATAGCACAATAGCAACCAAGGCGTGCACTGCAACAGACAATTACTTAGTTGTATTCTTAGCTGAGGGCAGTTCTTATTTTCTTCCGCCCGCACCCTCTAAATCTTGGACACGAAGAAACTGTATGGTGAACCGAGGCCACCACAGTTTCTGCAAGAAGGGTCCGCTAGATTCGGCCTGAGTTAATCAGTGTTGATCAAGGTTAATTTACCCGAAATACATATAATGCAGCCTGAGTTAATCAGTGGTAATCAAGGTTAATTTACCCGAAATACATATAATGCAGCCTGAGGTATAAAAAACGCAATAACGGGGAGGACATCAAATAGAGCTGCAAAACCAGGTCGCTTAATTGATGCCAAATTATTTTTTAAAAACAATCGAAAGTTAACTTCCCTGAAGAATATCAGAATACATCTATGCTATCAATACCTAGTTAATTATATTCATTAAATGATTTCATTCATGACTAAAGCAATAAATGAAACCAATTAACTTTAATGATGCGACACTTGGAGGAGTACCGCATCCAAGGGCTTCAGTATGTCATGGCAACTCTGGTCAACCGAAGTATGACGTCAATCAGTTAACATGTGTTAAACATTGGTCAACAAAGGTTAGCTTGTGTGATACCTTGGTCAACAAAGGTTAGCTTGTGTGATACCTTGGTCAACAAGTGTTCACCTTGGAAATCGGACGCATGCAGTGTGCACTATGGAAGATGGCAACGCAAGTTAGTGTCAGAGTAATTTCCCTTCACACAAATTCGTGCCCAACTTTTAAGTAATTTCACTTTTCAATGACGATGATGTGGATTACATCAGCAATTGATTTCAGTAAAAGTTTCTCAAAGTTTGGACACAATCTGTCGACTTCTACCGTCACATTCTATATTTCATTGACGTTGCGAGTAAGTGACGTCACACTATTAGACGTCATAATATTAGACGTCATAATAGCCTACAAATCAAGTCTTTGAAAGGCGTATAGAAGTGATACATATGAGGAAGAGAACTTACTCCTTCATCAGGTGAATAATTCATTCCTATCATTTACTTACCTGATGAAGGTTTGTTTGTCTGTTGTTTTACGCCGCACTCAGCAATATTCCAGTTATATGAAGGCGGTCTGTAAATAATCGTGTGATTAATAACGTGAGCATCGATCTACGCATTTGGGTTCGAAGCCGTGTAACAAACAAGTCAGCGAGCCTGACCATCCGATCCCGTTAGTCGCCTTTTACGACAAGCATAGTCGCCTTTTACGGCAAGCATGGGTTGCTGAAGACCTATTCTAACCCGGATCTTCACGGGTCACCTGATGAAAGAGTAAGAATATACTCCGAAACGTTATGTTCCTCTTAATAAAGAAGATGGCATCCATAAATTCTGCAAATGATTTTCAGTTTGCGAATGCAACGTCATTTCTACTTTCCTTTCCGTCTTTGTCTATTCGCAGTGTTCTGCTTTGTTCTGCACATGGCAACACGAATGAGTACATCAGCTAGTACCGTGAGACGTCCCTGCTGTCTCCCCACAGGAACCATGCCTGCATTGTACACCAAAGAAAACATAAAACATATCACCAGAAAACTTTTGTTTTTAACGGTTTGTTTTTAGCAAGGCTTGATAAGGTAGTCTGGCCTATCAAGTGTTTAATACGCATAAAATACAATACACATCAAAGGATTTTTTTGTAGAAAAAAAACCCTCTATATGTAGATGTATCCTGGCTGTCACGTTTCCGTAACGCAATGTTTTTGACAGAATGCCTCGCGCATCTGTGTAAGATAAAAAAGTAAACAAGTCTACTATTTTTTAGACAAGCATTTATCTGATTTGTAACCCCCTGGGAATCTATCCGTCGCTTCTAATCACCCAAAATAATGCTAGTCTACGATATATCTAACGGCAGAACTTAGATGTTAGCGATAATCGATATTCTAAATAACACTTAAACGCACAAATCTTATTAAGAGACTTGGAGTAAGTTCATTTGCCGTCGGTACAAAGGGTTTATTGCCGTGTGCCTATGAAGCTTAATGGGTGGATCTACTTTAACTCCACGCATATAAGCCATATCAATACACACGTACACATTGGAGGATACTGAACGCTGTTCAGTCATTATCACTGCATTAAATAACAGTTTCGCATTCTTCCATACATTGCGTCTTATATTGTCGATGCCATTTGGAGATAAAACAGATTAAATACGGCTGTTATATCAGACCGAGATTTGAGTTATTTGGCAGAGCCGATTGGTGAAAAAGGAGTTGATGATAATGGTCCCCGCTTCATGGACGAATCAGCGATTAATACGGTGGTGACTCCTTACATAGAAAGTGTATCCCAAATGTTTAATGCTGCACTTGTTACGTGCTGGGTGAAGGTGGATGGGTGGTTGGTTTGAGGGTGGGGGTGGGGTGTTTTTTTGTGATTTCTGTGATACAACTTATCCTTCGTCCGTGCATTCAACAATTATTTACAGTTACATTCATTATTATGTCGCTTATTTAAAGTATTTTTTCTACTTTAAATGGAGTTTACAGCTATCAAATCTACGCGTAGCATATAGTACTGTATATATCTGCTAAACCCATACCAATTCCAATGATGTTTTCTTCGATGGTGTTATGCCGAGAGGGTCTCCGTGGCTCGATGTCCTTAGCCGTGCACGGGTCGACGGTTGTGAGGTCCAAAAAAGGTTTGCCCCGATATTGTCCCTGGTCTGTCTGCAAACTATTTTTTCATATTTTTTTCATACTCATGAAACTGACACGTCCTGATGTAACTGAAATATTTGGCCTTAAACCAAACTCACTCACTCAAATACTCGCTTGACTGGTCACATGTAGCTACACCCAAAGGCTGGAAGCGCCAAAGTAACCCGTGACCCAAATACGTCACAATGGAATTCCAAACCCATGAAGATCCGGGGAAGAATAGGTCTTCAGCAACCCATGCTTGCCATAAAAGGCATATATACTTGTCGAAAGACGCGACTAACCAGGTTGGGTGGTCAGGTTCTCTGAATTTGTTGATGCATGTCATCGATACTAATTGCGTGGATCGATGTTCATGATGTCAATCACTGGATTGTCTGGTCCGGACTCGATTGTTTACAGACCGCCGTCATTTAGCTTAATTTTGCTGAGTGCGTCGTTAAACAACAAACAAACAATGGAATTCCAGGTTTTTTTGGACACGACACCAGGGCTATAGTTTTCAGTAGAACATTTTGATTGAATGTTTCTCGCAAAACAAACCAGTTTTTTGAATAAGCATTCCTGTTTTTTTTTTGTACACAAAACGTGCACGCATAGATCGTTGATACAGTATCCGCGGTAAATAACAACATTACAAAACAGTATATCATTTGTAAAAACATCTGTTGCGTGAAAAACAATTTCAAAGTCTCACCACATGTAATTTGTTCAATAAACTTAAACTTATTAATTGAAGACATTATAAACGATGTGTATTTCAGCGAAAAGATTTCAATTATTTGATCACGCAACTACGTCACTTGATTGACAGCCATTAACAACCTGATGTCAATTTCAGAGAAAGGCGATAGCTTCAAGATCTTGTCTTATTTGTATCCAATAAATATAAAAATTATATATACTGCATGTGATATTTGTCGTATATGATATGTCTATGTCGTTGAGGGGGTGTTATAGAATAATTTTTCAAATTTTGATTTAGAGGAAACTTTACAAATTTTATCAGTCAATTAACACAGCATTCCTTCCCGGAACATCTACTTATTTGAATGAAATTATACCTTTCAATTTACCGGAATAAATTGCTTCCCAAGATGTCCATTGGTTTAGATTATATCATGTTCTCTTAAATATCTTGCATAATTAACAAAAAGCACTTTGCCTGCTTATAACGACTTCCAGTGGCCGATTAAGTCGGCACCGCCAAGTCTGCTTTATTCTGGCCAATAATCCGCTGTCAAACATTAATGACAACTTCACCTGATCATTGACGTGAAATATGCACCTTTGTTATGTAATTGATTTCAATTAACTGAAATGAATTGCAGTAAAGAGACAAAAATTACAGTTTCTTTTAAAGATTAGATACTCGACCCGAAGTCATGGATCTTTTCACTTGAGACATATCGACGCAATCATCGAATCGAAAAGTCAGAAAATAGTGCCACGTGATCAACTCTTCGTTTTAATAAAGTGTTATTATTTGCCTTTTTGGTATCCAATTTCAATGAAATAAGCATAGCCATAAATCACCCTCCGGCCAACGATTGTTCGTCAATGACTGACACGCGTCTGCACACAAACGATACCGTTGTTCATTTCATTTGCCAGTATTGAAATGAACAACCTCGACAAATAGACACTGTTGAGGTCGGTCCGCGGTATGAAATTATTCAGGTGTAATAACCTACATCATTTATACAGTTTCAAATATATGGAAATTCTCCGTTCATTCCCTGTCCACTGAGTCCGTTTGTCTGACATGAGGACACTGGAAGACGAATACTAAGGGGAAATGTGAATTAATGGCAGACAACGAGAATGAATCATACATATTAATGTACCTTTCATGAAATTCAGATATCCGTCAACATCTATGTCATCAATCGACTAAAATATGAATTTCTGAGCAGATATTGTGATTTTACAGAATTCCAATGATTTTCATTACACTAATTTAATGAAATTTTAATTGAATCTATCGATTGATCCTACATCTTGAATTGAAGTCACGTTGAATTACTTTGATCTGGTTAACGTTTTATGTAAAAGTGTATCTAAATGACTTTCTGAGAAAAGAACGAATTGAAACTTCCATTTTGTAAATGAAATTGCAACCCTCATGTTCTCAAAGTACTTTGATCTACGGAAACATCAAATGCCGTACAGCAAACCCTTTGTGGTATGCGATACCATCAACAGATTCAGTGTATTGCTCAATGATACTTTTGTTCTATCCGCTCTGCCACGTTTCTTAAAAGAACACAAAAAGACACACTTACAATTTTTAATACCATTAAT